GGGGGGCAGGTGGGTGTCCCGTCCCGCCCCCCCCCCTCCATGGCTGTGGGGCGAGGCCCCGTGTGTGTGTGTGTGCGGGGTGTCCCCTCCGGGGGACCCCGCTTCCCCGGCAAGGGGGAGAAGTCCTGTATTCGTTGCCTGGCAGTGGTGCTGCCGACGGAAGCTGGGTGAATTATTATTTTTATTATTTTTTTTTATTATTTTATATCGTATAGAGGATGTCTTTTCTCTTTCTGGAAGCCTGAGGTGGTGTGACAGGCTGGCGGGCAGGCGGGGCTGGTGCGGGGCCGGCCCCCGGGGTGCCCCGGCGTTGGGCCGGTGCTGAGGCCGTCGCCAGAGAGGAGGTGGGGGGAGAAGGTCAGAGAGTGCTCTCCTTTGAACCTTTCCTTTGTCTGTCACAGATAAAATAGAGTAGCTTTGATTACCAGGGGGTGGCTTCAGAATCTGTCAGCCCTATTGGTAACTTTGGGATCAGGCGGAACGTATTCTTCAACACCTTCAGCAGTATGGGTTATTTATTTATTATTTTTGTTCCCTAGTGATGTCTGTACCTTTTCATTTTTTTTCCCTTGTTCTTGGCAAAATGCTTTCTGAAGTTCTGCAGTCCTCTCCTATGTAGCTAGGAGGCTGGAGGCTTGAGATCCCGCTCAGAGCCTAGGTCTGCTCCCTTGTCTGCTTTCCCATGCCCCATGCTGACATTCAGGAAGCAAGAAAAAAAAAAACACTGTTGTAATTCTCGTTGATGGTGCTAAAGTGCTGCCACTTTAAAAAGGTTCTTGTTGGTAGGTATGTGTTGAGAGGAGAGGGGACAGTTGCTTGTATCCAGAGTGGTTAGGAAGATGATCTATATTTTCAGATATTCCTGATGGTAATATTTAAAAAAAGTATAATCAAACTTTTCAGACTAGAAAGTAGGTAGTAAAGCCATTGATCATTTTTTCTCATCTGAAAAATAACTTGTTCTTTCTTCAGGTTAATCTGTCTCTACCAGTTTAGGCTTAGTTATAATATTAATATTTGGCATTTCCTTTGGCTGAGTCTGCAACACCAGCTTTTTGGTAACTTCTGTTTGAATAACAGGTGTTGGAGATTCCTTCCTCCTAAGAGTTTTAGTTAGCTCTTGGAGCTCTTACCGTCTTTCTAGGTATTAGGATGTCTCTTTCTGGTTCCTGGTAACCCTCCGAGTTATTCCTTGCTTCTTAGATATCCTTTACCAGGCTTTTATATAACATGGTCCCTCTGTGAACTTGATCCCCTTTTCTTTGCTGATAATCTCTGTTTCATTTCAGGGAAGCTGTTCCCATGGCGTGTGGGGAATGCAACGCTTCAGCAC